ATGTATGTATGTGTGTAATGATTTCATTGATGAGAACTGAACAGAAGAAAGAATAAAAGAAATTTTAATGTTAAACATGTATCATTTTTCATTACATGTTTATTTTAGTAAAAAGAGGAAAGATATTATTATTTTTTGTTTCTTGTTTCAAAGAATTAATATTCATTTCATCTGTTAAGAGCAAAACTCTAAAAAATTAAAGAATATTATCATTTGTAAAAAGAATTTATTAAAAATCAGAACATATTTAATAATAAAATAATTAACATTTCTTCCAGTTCAATTAAAGAAAAAAGAAAAAAAAATCATAAAATATGGAAAATAAAAAAAGAAAAAGAAATAGTTTTTCTACTAATTTTATAAAATACAATTTTTTAGACTTGATCACTTCGAACAATCTTCGAAGTCTTAGTTACAGAACTGTTTCTTACACGCTATTGAACAGTGATTGATCTTTCATTCATTACACAAAAATTCATCGTTGGTCGATTATTATTCATGCTTTTAATCGATCCGCGTAGAAATGCCTAGGACACTAGCCACGATGTTTCGATAATCAGCAAACGGAACAAGTACATATCGTAATCTCTATGATATATAACTTTTAATTTTGTTAACGAAGATTAACATTATCACAAAGTTGACATATTAATTTTATTTATTTTAAATTATATAAATTGTTAATATCCTATTAATTAAAATTCTATTAATATTTTATTAATTATCTTCTTTATAATATAATGTTTATATTAGAATTATGTTATATTAAATCTGTATGTTATATGCTTTTCAATAATCACTGAATCGAATTAAGATATTCATTCGATTGACTTTCCGTGCACGTATCTCTCTCGTTTCATTCATCAATTTTAAAAAGTAATTAATTTCAATTTTAAATATTAAAAAAAAAAATATTCTAAAATTCTAAATACGTATATTTTTTTTTTACGATATAAGATTTTTAACACGTTTTCATATGTAAGTACTTTGCATTTTATTTGTAAGTAAAACGAAATCTATAAATTTCTATTTCCTAAAAATTAATTATTATTATACTATATATATATATATGCATTGATTCTATTATTAAAAATTCTTTCATATACCCTTCGCCAAGATTCTATATATTATGTAAATTTACTTATCTCGAAACATAATATTACGATCTGACTGACAAATTGTGTTATATAATTCGAATATGATGCTTTGTGATTATATTGAAAATTTGGCAAGCAATGAGCGTGTCGAATAGCTACATCAATTGACGCATCCAACAACATCCAGTTGCAACATTTTACCCTTTTTTTTTTTTAATAGAAATCGTTTCGAATCGTTTCATTCTCAATTTTTTTTTTTTTTTTTTTTGTCCCATTCTCTCTCTTTCCGAACGTGTGAACTGACGTCTGACCGATTTTACGATCCCTTTCTCTTTTCAATAGAGATTACTATATAATCTTTACGATCGAGGTCGTGCTCGATTACGACTTCGTGTCGGCGTTAGAAACGATCCGCCAGTTTCTGTAATTGCTTAAAACTAGGGCATTAAACTTAACAGACACCGTAGGCCTTAAAAATAAGAGGCGTAGAAAAAAGTACTTGCAGTGTGAATGTAGAATGGATCTTAAACAATGAGATCATGAATCAAATCGTTAAAATGTCACGATTGGGTGTGAATCTCGGAAGAATTATTTTTAAATTTCCCTGTAAATCCTGCCGAAAATAATAAACGTGTTTCTAACTAAGAATCCAATTTTCCAAATCGTGTAAAACTTTGTTTATAAATATATGCCGCAAATAATGCTGTATTTTCAAGGAACTTACGAGAGAAAGTATTTAATCTAAAAATTGATAGTGATATCGTAATAACTTGTGGACAATTATAAAGTTAGTTTAATTAAAAATTGAAAAGTATGTTTATTGTTAGTTATGTTAAGGAAAAACAAGTTTTGGAAAGTATCCACGCGAATCTAAAAAATCTTTGTTTTATTTCTTGCACGTGCTTACGAAACATTCGTTGAAACTGAAATACCATGCGCACTTTCTAGTACGTATTCTTCATACATTGGAAACGAATTACAATTAAAAACGAAAATTTATTATTGCAATTATTGCATACATATATAAGTATTGGATGTATACAGTTAAATTTTGAGATTTATTATAACGTTTAGAGATGATACAAGGTGTGATGGGTTATTTTTAAATTTTATATCGAATCTATATGGATCATTGCTCGAATCGAAACTAACTTGATTGTAAATTCGATCGTGAATTTTTCAAAGTTTGATTATTTTGAAAATTATCTGGGAAATATTGTGTAGTATCCCATACGATATAGTCGTTAAGTGGGAGTCAAGAAACGTCAAGATTTATATATTTTGGGCGAAACCTAAGAAGAAACTAGAATAAATCAGTGGCGTATTAAGTATATTTTAACTTTGGTTTAGTGTATAGTTTAGTTTAATTTCAGAATAGCGTGTGAAGTTCAAAAATAATTTGTATCAATAAACCCATATTTATATAATTACTATATAATGCTGTATATGTATTTCTATTAATGAAATTATACATTAACAGTAATTTTTTAATTTAAAGAGGAATAATTGGTTATAATCTATTTATTTATATATAAAATAAATTAATAATTGACACGAATGAATTGCTTCCTTTAAAATGAAATAAAATTAAGACTTTGAAAACAAGGATAATATATTAATACGTAAAAATAGATTTTAGATAGTTTTTAAAATATTTTCCCAAAAACTGCTCAAGTAAATGTATTTTAAGTTATACAATCGAAAGATTGAAAGCATAAATCCTTGTGATTATTTCTTCTGGTTGAACGATAAAACGAAGCAATGAAATTTTCGAAGGTATTATGTTCTACTTGAAAAAATATGAGATTGATGTTCCTTTTCCTCGACTTAATCGCTCTTATAAAATAATATTCACTTTCACATCATTACGTATTTCAACGGACGGCGTTATTAATTTTTTGAATCATGTTGATTAATTATGTAAATCGCATGTGTTACTTCTTACCATTATCGAGTTTCATCTAGAATTTTGAAAATTTTTAAATGTTAATTAAAAATCATTCTGAATCAGTAATTACGCTTAAGTGTTTGAAACTATTATATATATGTATACATATTTATTATTATGTATTTATTAACACGTGTATCCATAAGTATGTATATATATATGTATCCAAATAAGTAAATAAATAATAAAAAAAAATATCTCAATTTTATTCTTCAATTATTTGCCTAGCTTTCGATTAATCGCTTTATGATTCTGAAGGTATGCATCATTTTTGCATCTCAGGATACATTCATCCTCGAGTTTAATTCGAATTCCTTCGCCTCGGTTACAGATCCCTCGAAAAACAATTCAAAATGAGCGTCATAATCAGACTACAGAATTTGGCATGGTCCGCGAACGCTTTGGACATTCGCCAATTTTTCAGAGGCTTGAGCATACCGGAAGGAGGTGTGCACATTGTTGGCGGAGAATTGGGAGACGCTTTTATAGCTTTCAGGTAATGAAATGACTGTCTTATTAATTACGTAATTGAAATGGAAAAAAATATATATATTTGTTTCTTAATCTATAATGTAATTCTTAAAATTCTATGAACAATATTCAACGAGTTGATGCGTATAATAAAACGCGTTAAATATGCATTTCGGTAAATGTAAGTACACGATTCAATCCGCATAGTTTTGTACAAGATATTTATAAATATCTTTAGCAATTAAGAATATTAATACATCGATCGATCTCAGTTATGATAGATTATTGACAAACGATATTAATTTCAATTTGTTTCGAAGACAATTTTTATTTTTATTTACATTTTTATTTTCATATAAACTGTATTCTCAAGTCCTCAAGTTTCTTAAAACATGATCAATATACGAATTAAAGTTTTCACGAACACGATTAAATAAATGGAATTTAAACAGAGAAATTTGTTTCGTTCTCTAAATATCATTATTATCTATACTTTCCCTTGGATAATTTTATCTTTCTTGCATATTCATCATTTTTATATCATTCACGTTGTCCACAAATGCATAAAAATTCGCAAAATCTAATGATCGATTTTACACACAATATACGTATATACAAAAGAATTTTATTATCCCTTTGAAATTCGATCTTTTTTAAAGATTTTATTTACTTATTTATACATATTTATACACGAATCGTGAAGAAATACCCAACTCGGTCGCAGCACCTAAACTAAATTTCACAAATATTTGCAGCACCGACGAGGATGCCCGACAGGCGATGATGCACGATGGCGGCAAGATCAAAGAAATGAAGATAAAGTTGTTGCTGAGCTCACGAACGGAGATGCAGAAAGTTATCGAGGCGGCCCGCCAACAGACCTTGAGCCTTCAATCGTTCATGCAAACGGCGCCGGTTGCTGTCGCCCCGGTTGTTCAGAAGCCTGGATCGCCCGGCGACCGAAGGGAAAAAGAGAAGGACAACGATAGCGAGTCGAGCAAGGATCGCAAGGATAGACGCGACAGATCTCGATCCAGGGACAGATCTCGGTCTCGTGACCGTGACAGGGATAGGGATCGGCGAGATAGGGACAGGGGGCGAGATCGTAGACGTCGTGATAGAAGCAGATCGCGGGACAGGGAGAGGGACAGGAGGGACAGGCGTAGGCGTCGCGATCGATCAAGATCTCGGGATCGTACGCGATCGAGGGATCGGGATACTAAGCGTAATTCGACGGGAGAGCGCCGAAAGGACGCCAACGACGACGACAACAACGATGTGGTGTGCGTGGGCCAGTTTCACAAAGACAAACCTGTAGCCGGTGCCAAGAAACCGTTGGAGAATGGTATTTGGGAGGTGCCGCCACAGACGCAGATGCAGGCTGCCATGTTGGCGCCTGGAATTTTGGGCGCCGGTGTGGCAGCACTGTCGCAAGATGGCGAGCCACGGTCTATGGTTATGGGGCATCCGTCCTTACTTCAACAAGGCCAGTTCCCTATAAATGGGATAAACGGTGTTGGAAGTCTGATGCAGTCGCATATGCAAACCCTCGGCCACACTGTAGGCATGGGCCCGTTGTCCCAGAACGTGGGCGGATCGAATTTACCCAACTTGAGCAGCGGGGTGAGCTCGTTGAATCGGCCCAAGGAACCGTGGAATCAGAACGAGCAGAGCAGATTGGATCAAGTTAGATTCCCTGGTAGGTCGGGCCAGTTTGGAGCGGATATATACGGTTCGAACGGTTCTGTGAATTACAGGCCGGGGATCAGACCGAATAATCCGTTTTTGAGCAAGGTGCAAGAATTGGAAGGTCGCCGGAACCCACACGCCTTCCAGACCAATAGCTCGCAGTTCAACTTCGACAGTGACAGGCCAGGGAATCGTAGTTCGACGAACAGATTCTCGAACGAGAATAAGAACAGCAGTGGAGGTGGGCATTGTGTCGAGGTTCGTAACATGCCTTTAAGCGCCACGTATAACGACGTCCGTCACGCGTTTCAAGGTATTTATATAAGGAAAGACGGGCTCAAGTTGATCAACGATAATCACGGAAATCGTGTTGGTATTGCTTACGTTAAGTTCAGCAAGGCCGAGGGTAAGGAACTAGCATTGGGCACTACCAGATTCGTTAGAGGATCAGAGGTGGAGGTTTTACATCTCGACGAAAGTATCTTCGACAAAGCGGTGGATTCGTATTCCCCTGAAAAGGAAAGGGATCGGGGAGAAGATGGTATAGACGATGTCAGATCATCTGCCTGTATATTACTGACCGATCTTCCTTCCTTCACCAAAGAGATGGATATTGCCAAATTGTTCCACGATTGGAAAATCAACGACCTGTTCATCACCAGTACCAAGGAATCTGGGAGTATCCAATGCATGGCCTATGTGCAATTTGCCAGAATAGAGGATGCCAAAGCGTCGGTAAATACGTCTTTGAAAATTGGCAATAAACCGGTGACCGCGACAGCGATCACCGAGGAAAAATTTGCTCAAGCGAAGCGTGATCACGAGCAGAATAGTATGAATCAAACGGCCAGCTCGGATTGCGTTATCATGCGGGGTCTCCCATTCCAAACGATCGACCGTGACATTTTGGACTTTTTCTCCGACATTGGAATCGTACCCCATCGAATACACATGTTACATCAGAATGGGAAACCCGCCGGCGAGTGTTTTTGTGAATTCGACACGGCAGACGAGGCTCTCAGAGCCACTGCTAAAAACGGTTTACCTTTTGGCAAGAACGTCCCCACCATAGAGCTGGTTCCACGGGCGAAAATGTTGGAAACGTTAGGAATGGTGGATCCACAGATCATGGAAACGCAACAGCAACATTTCCCACCTCTTCAGGAGCAAAGGCCACGATTTTCCGGCCCCATGAATCATTTACCCCGCTTTGGTAATTCTGGTTTCGGGCCTAGATGCCCTCCTGGCTTAATGGGTATACCTAGACACATGTTAGGCCGACACCCAGGTTCCATGGATTACGTGGTGGAAGGTTTTGGCAAGCCTGGCTGCGTATTGTCCTTGGAAAATGTCCCTTTCAAAGCCGACATCAACGAGATCATCGAGTTCTTTGGCGACTTTGATGTGAAGAGAGAGAACGTGATACGTCGGTATAACGAAAGAGGTATGCCTACAGGCGATGCCAGAGTAGCTTTCGCGTCGCCCAGCGAGGCACAAAGAGCATTAAGGGAGTTGAAGCACTGCAAGATGAGAGACCGCACGATATACATGAAACTTGCGTGAATACTTCCGTCTTAAATGTCGCTAAGTCAATTGCACAATTTCCAAAGGGTGGTTTTAAGTGAAAGAAACTCGAGAAGAATTAGTCTTTGAAAGAATTGAAAAAACAATGATGTCTAAAGAACGAATCAAAGAATCGATGAATCGATAGTATTCGTCGATTATTTGATAAATATGGGAACAATATAAATACACGATGAATGATTAAACGAATGGAGGAAAAGTTACATACAGCATTAGGGAAGGAAATGTTTTCATTTTATAAATGGTGTATTATAATCTTTTAAAGGTAGTTTAATTTTTTTGTTAACTTTTTCATTCATCTGCGATCTTCTTCTATCCATTCTTATATTTTTGTATATAGAAGACTGATGTCTCTGACGTATATTGTTCTTCGAGATCATTAATATTGATTTAGCAATGTTAAGTAAGGTTTAATAATTTACAAATAATAGGACAAATAATAATTAAAGCGAAAGTTTGATATTTTAAAATATTTCAATACTTAATGACAGTAAAGACAAATTTCATTCTCGAGTAAATTTTTCTCTCGAGATAAAATAAAGATTATGAAAATATTCTTTTTCTTGTTATTACAATTTAATTTGTAATTTGTATTGGATGCCTAGTTTCTTTTTTCATTTGTATTAAAGTTTGGGTAAGATCATCTTGTATCTTATTAAGCAAAGTAACAGCAACAACTATTGTTGTTATTCTCATATCCACTAAGAGTTAAGCTTTGTAAATACGTAAGCCATCATTTAAAATCGTCACGTTATGTTCTAAATATTTTCTTTGGCACGTAACGTTCATGCCTAGTATACAATGCTTTCGTTTATATGATTATTATAGATTATTCTAAACAAAACGCAATAAAAAGTACAATAAAAGACTTATTCGACGAAAGATACCATTGAGCAATTCTTATCTTTTAAATTGATTACGAATAAAACAAACAATAATAATAATAATAATAATAATAATTCATGCTCACAATTATCATAATTTTGAAAGGGGAAAGGCTTTCATACATGTATAGAAAAAAATACACAATGTTCATTGTTGTTACGAGTTTCAATGATACGTAAGTGTACACATTAAACATAAATGCAAAAAAAGAAGTACAAAATTCGAATATCAAGAATTTGCTTTGTATGAAATATAAAATTATACTTAAAAAAAAAAA